CGCTATGGGTCGGAACCAACTCAATGGCACTTAACAACAACAACAAAGATATCTATGTCCTAAGTCCTTGGAACCTAAGGATATGTTACATTACACACTACATTACATGAGTCAAGTGCTTGGTTGCTAACCAAAAGGTCTGTGGTTTGAGCCCACCAGCTAGCTGCTCCACTGGAAAAAGATGTGACAATCTGCTCCCATAAAGAAACTCTACAGGCAGTTCTACTCTGCCCTATAGGGTCTCTGTGAGTCAGAATTGACTTCATGGCACCTAACAACAACAACAACAACAACGTAGTAAAGAAGAATTAAAGTTGCAGGTGGACTTATACTGCTAATCAACTGACTTTCGCTCATGAGGGGAAAAAAGACCTCAAATTTAAATCTGTTTTATAAAGACTCTCTTACTAAGTTTTAAACAGAACAAAGACAAATCATCCAGACGAGGGAGACCATAAGCATGAGGCCATAACGGTGTGCAAAGGATTCATGGCCACATTGCTACTTACAGACAAAGAAAACAAAGGATATTTGTCACAAAATCATGATTGGCAGGTCACTTCATGCCTGATAAAACTCGGTTTTCTGAGTTTTAAGAAATAGTACTAGGGCTAAGCACTGGACTGCTAACCACAAGGCCACCAGCCACTCTTGGAAACTCTACACGGGGACGCTATGAGTCAACCAACTGGATGGCACACTACAACAGGGTTACTATAGTTCACAGACTTGTACTGATTTTCATAGCTGTGTGGGCATGGGTGTCTCTGAATGGCTTTACCTAGTTCCAGTTGGTAACCACAGGTACAATAGATTAGCTGTCGTACTAATACCACATTGTATAGAATTCTGTTTATTGTGTGCTATAATGCATACTTGTCCTTCAGACTAAGTCACTGCAATTAAATTATTTCAATGTTGGGCAACTTTGTTTTTTAGAACCAGATCCTTCTTCCTTGAAAGAGAAATCTTTTATTGTGAATTGAGTGAAGGTTTATCGAGAAGATCATTAGTTTTACATTCAACAAATCATATCCTTTGCTTCATTACAAGATTTCAATATCCTCCATGTGCCAATGTTGTTGTTGTTGTTGTTAAGTACTGTGGAGTCAGTTCCGACTCACAGTGACCCTGCACAGGGTTTCCAAGGCTGTAAATCTTTACGGGAGCAGAACACCACATGAACTGCTGGTAGTTTCGAACTGCTGGCCTTGAGGTTGGCAGTCCGAGTCGTAACCACTATGCTAGCAGACCTTGTTTCCATGTGCCAATAGTTAGCAGTATTTACTTCTATTCACTTTAGCTCTTACACTGCTCCTTGTGTCTCCTGCTACGTTTAGCTTTCCACTGCCAACCACCCTACCACTCAGGTTAGCGTGTGTCTATCCTCCAGATGAGAATAATTTTCCCTTCCCCAACCCTGTAATTGGGGTCCTGGTGTGGCGCTGTGGGTTAATGC